GGAGAAAAATAAAACGCGCAGTTCAACACCTGAGCGTAATCTTGTTTCTCTGCGTCCATAGCCTTATTCGTTGCGTTGTGAATTCCGCGAATCTTTTATACTCGCTTCTTCGTCTTCACCACAAGTTTCCCATTAAGGATAGAAAATGGTCCACGATCGCAAATCGCAGGAAATGCGCGTTGTGGAAAAACTCGAAGATACCGCAACTCCCTATATATATATATATAATAGTCGCGCATTTTAAAAGTGGCATTTTAGCGAACGCGCATCTCTTTCGCATTGAATCGGTAGCTCGATTTCCGGTGTTGAAAATGACAATGAACTGGAAAAAGTTAAGTTGGGATAAAAAAAATTATAAAAAACAAAAAAAAGAAATAAAATAAAGGAAAAAAAATTAATATATCTGTTATACACTGAAAAAAATTTATTTGATTCAAATAATCGGTTATCAAATAAATATTTACTTTAATTGAGAAATTTTTATTTGAATTAAATAAATTGTATTTGAAATAATAAATATCTTTTGACAATTTATACGATATTATCGTGATGAAAAAAATATTTTGCTGCTTCTCTATAATATAGAAATAAGAGGAATTATTTTAATGGTTAATTAAATTTTCGTGCACGTAATCGCAACGAAGTCACTTGCGAATATTAACTGTGTGATCCATTCATAAGTAGTCACGAATATACGTCTGGTAAAACTTAGAGAGAGAGAGAGAGAGAGAGAGAGAGAGAGAGAGAGAGAGAGAGAGAGAGAGAGAGAGAGAGAGAGAGAGAGAGAGAGAGTTAGAGGATTATGTTCTCGACTGTACACGATGTGGTTTTATTTCTCCGAGAGTATATTTTACAGGCGCGCGTTAGGCACGAGCGCACAACCACGAGCCATTTTGCTTACGTTTTTTAACAGTCAATTATTACTATTATTATTATTATTATTTCTCCACCAATTTCACTATAAAATGTGTTTCAAAAAGTAATTAATTTTTCTTTTTATCTTTTCATTGTTTGTCGTTAAAAAAGAATTTCAGGGGAGAAAAAATACTTTTTACATTTCTAGAGTTAAAAATTTACCAAAATAAAGAAAAAAAATTAGTTTATTCAATGAAAAAAATAGACAAAAAAAATATAACTTCAAACTAAAATATTATAAATTATAATTATAAATAAATAAAAATTTAAAATAACTTTAAATTAATTTAAAAAAATCGATTAATTTTATATTAATTTGTAATAATAATAATAATAATAATAATAATAATAATAATTGAAACACCCGGTAAATAGATTTTGTGTCATAAAGTCATATCGAGTGTTTTCAAGTAGCACTCGCCTATCGTGTGAGCTGAGCGCGTGCACGCGTGTCCAGTTCGCATGTCTATAAGGTATATAATGATTTCTTACGCTATGTACACACCATGTTAAAGTATGCATTATAAAGTGCACACAAGTACTTTATGTACACAGTGCCAAGTATCCGGAGTGTTTATATATATATATATATATATATATATATATATAGAATCGAGACCGTGGGAATAAGCGACGCGATGTCGCGAGTCCCGGCACGAGGCACGAGAGCTGTAAGATAAGGATGACGTTATTCGTTTTGCATAAAGAGTGAAAGTGACAGTAAACATTCCATTGGCCTTTTCTATTTGCAACAGGTCTTATACATCTTCATGAAACTTACACTCAACTCCCTGTTAGCCATTTTTTTTCTCTCTTCCCCCCCCCCTCTTTCTCTATCTCTCTTTTAAACATTTTTATCAATATTTCACTTTTACTTTCTTTCATATATAAGAAATCCGAGAAAAATTATTTTTTTCTGAGACAAATGAAATTTATTTGAATGAAAATTATTTTTTTTTTTTAATTAAAATTTTACTTTGAAATGCGCGAACAAAAATTAAATCGATTATAATATCGTATCCCAAATGTCAATTTTTATTTTATTTCGAGAAATTTTCATCTTTATAATATATGCGATCGATTGGTGTAACATATATTTATCTCAATTTCATCATGTCTGATCTTCGCGCTTATCAATATCAATCAAGATGTAATTGATTACAGTTAAAATGAAAGTTTACATTTTCGAATTCCTGTACTTTTTTTTGACGTGACGTTACAGAACTCCCATTAAACGCAACTAATTATTATTATTATTATTATTAAATATTTTATAATATCGTTTTACTCATTTCTTCGCGAGAATTAAAATTACTTTCCAATTTACATTGAATATTTTTTAATAACTATTTTTATTACATATTTTTTTTTATTGATAAAATAATTCATAAGTTCACCAAATAACTCATGCAGAAATGAATTAATGTTAATATAATTAAATTTTTTTTTCACAAATATCTCAATCGTTAATAGTCATTACAAAAATCATCTTTGCGTCTCTCATCAATTTTATAATTGGTTTATTTATGTGTGTGTGTGTGTCCTGTGTCCCTGTTTATAATTCGCCTCATTAAACATTCCGAAAGTTGTACAACACACGAGGCAGATAAAAGACACGATCGATAAATGAAATAAAGTAAAAGTGTAATGAATCAATTTTGCTTGCCGAATTCGTTAAATTGCACATATATTGAATCGCTTCACAAAAAAAAAATATGTCACTTATAATGATACCAAATTTATATGATTTTTAATCGCGCGCGCTCAATGAAACCTTCAAGAAAGTGAATTCATTCTTAATTTACTGATAAAAATTTTTTCCCTTTTTTTTAATGAGAAAATAATTTTAATTAAATTTTATACATTATACTGCATATAAAAAAAATAAAAATATAAGAAATATTTATATTAATAGTATTAAAATAAAAAATTCCTTTGTAATTACTGAAATGTTTCGAAATTATTTCTAATTAAATAAAAAAGAACATAAAAAATTGACATTGTCAAAGAAAAATTAATATCAAAAATATGTAATAAAAATAAAATTAGGGAAAATATTGGAAAAGGGTGTTTGAAAGGACTTCTAATACAGGACTGCATGAGGGGTTGCATACTGTAAGGGTGGTTCCTTTCTAAGGTTTTCCATTCTAAACTCACACTCCCTGGTGTCAAAAGCCGGAACTATTTCAAATAATTGACTGCAGTTCTTTTCACTTATTTCTTATTTTTATAATAAAATCATTAAAGTAATAATTATTATTAAATTATAAATATAATTTATAATAAATACAATTAAATAATAATAAGAAATAATAATAATAATAATATGTAATATAATGAAATATAAGAATAATTCATAAATTTGAATGAAATAAAATTATATGTCTCATTATTTATTTATTGGAAATAAAAATTTTATTTGGTGCGAATAGTAATTTTTATTTGAATTAAATTTGAAACAAATATTTATTTAACTTTGTGAGATATTTTTTAATTTTCTTTTTCATTTCTATAGAAATGGAAATAAAAAAAATAGATGTATTTTTTCTACAATGGAATATATTATTATTAAATTGTCTCTCAGGTGTTAGGGGGAGGGGTCCATTTTTGAATAGTGAATTTCATTGAATTAACCCCTGCAGTGAAATTTAAATATATATTCATCCTCTAGAGTACACTATGAATGTCCGTTATTCTAGTTTATCTAATATATAACATTCAATGATTGTAACTATCTTTTTTCTTTCATAAAGAGAGAGGGTCATACCCCAAGTATAGCCTATATGGAAAATCATGTGAATTCACAAACACCCCTTATTTTTTTTTCTTTTTCCCAAATGAACATGTGCTTGTCACATATGGGTTGCACGTGTACTTGAAGTGTGTTCTACTAGATAAACTCGACCATTGTTTGTTAAATATTTTTAATAAATAAACGAAAATTAGGATTCAATTTTCCTCCAATTTGATGTATTTATTTATTTTTTTAAATAAAATTATAGAGTCGTTTTGAATAATTTTAAAAATTTTAAGAAATAATTATAACAAATAGAATTTAATTTCCATTTTGCTTTTTATTTGACAAAATATGAAACTTGAAAATAAATTGCTTTTTTTGATTAATTGTATGAATTGTTGAAAAATGAATTCCAACGGCGTAAAATTGGAACTATTTCTCTAGTGTTTGTAATGTTTTTCTTTATTTTTTTTTCTTTCGATCCCTCGGAATGATAAATGCTTTTCCATGGATATTTGTCTATTCTATTCTAAACTGTGGAATGTCGACAGGTACCTGGACTAAATTTTTCGTGAGATAATTTTGGCATTGGAATTTTCTCTCTCTTGAGAGATTTTTCGGGCTTTTCTGTATAAATAGATACTTGAATACTCTTGAACGTTTTCAAAATGAACCTCAGGTATAGGTATATGAATAAGAGAAACCTTTTAAAATTGCGAACCTTTCAAAGGTACGTTTCACTTGCTTCAAAGTAAAAATCATTTTTATGAGGTCTTTTACAGGTGAATATAGTGGGTTTAGTTTCTCAAAGAATTTTACTTTTAATTTACGGTTATACGCTCTTTTTTGAGCTGTTTACATTTTTTTTATATTTTATTGAAAAAAGTGACTATTTTAAATTTAAAAATATTGGCTTCTTTTTTACACATTTAATTCTGTTTTGCTAGAATATATTTCCAGGACCAAAAAATACAATATTCTGGAATTTATATTAACTGTTTTGTTTTTCTTTAGGTTATTTAATTTATCAAATTGTTGATAATTTGAGCAAAATTTAAAAGAAATTTTGATTTGGATTTAAAATAGTCTGAATTATACTTACTGTTTCCTTCAGCTTTGTAGATGTTCTTCGTTGTTGTTGTTGTTTTTTTTATTTTTTTTTTTTTATGCAAGTTGAATATAGAAAATAAAATTTTTTTGAAAAAATTACTGAATAATTATAAAACTTGAAAATAAAATCAAAAATATTAATATAAATTAAAAATTTGTAAATTTAATTTGAAATAGAATAGTAAAAATTATAAATCTTATTCTAAAGGATGAGGATTAACAGACACAAGAAAAAGCATTATGTAGGTAATATAAAATTTTTATTTTCACAAAAAATTGGAAGACGTGAATTTTCATCTCGACTCAAGAGTCGATCAGATTAAAGCCAGTATCACAAATATATATCAATAAATTAAAATTTCTCCTATAATATAATAGGTACAAATATCACAAGAGTGATTATAAATCACTATAAATTTTTTTTACACCCTGTTATGTCCTTTCTACTCAAAATTTGAGCAATTGAAAAACAATAAAAAAATCTACTTATCGAACTATCGATCACAGTTTAACAGTGTTTATCAGAAATACAATATATTCTGTTTTCGATGACATCCTCGTTGAAAGTCGTTTTCATACCTCAGGTAAAAATAATTTGCAGAATGAGGATGATGATGATGAAGATTGTCAATCGGATTGATTGAAGTTGACTGTCATCCACATGACAGTTGTTGACGATGATGAAATCAGACCACTTGAATTTCAATTTGTTGATGTGTAATGATTGTCGTCTCCTTGTAGAAAAATTCACTCACTGGCAATGATGATGGCATTGGCAATGTTGTCCAAATGAATTCACCGTCTTGTGTTTGTAGAAAGTGAACTGGCACACAGTCGACAATTGAAACAGGAACAAGTGTCATCTTTCCCTCGTGGCAAACAGTGATGGCAGAATTTTGTTCAGCATTGGTTAAATCGGCCTTTAGTCTCTGTTCAAGTGCCTCGTTGCAATTGTTTTGATTATCAACTTCCTCAGTGAAGACATCCAATTGTTGTTCAACTTTTTGTTTTTTTGCAAGAAGTTTCTTACAAGATTGTGTCCTCTTCTTGATGAGTTTCATCAATGGTTTAAGAATATTTCTCATCCTGTAGATGCTGTTCTTCTTGTTGTTTCCGCACATTTTCAAATTGTACAGATTATCGTTCAACTCGTTCTCGCAGTCAAGCACGTGGCTAATGGTCATCATGGTGGCGGCCATCTTGGAATTGATTCACAACACTGAACGCGAGATATAAAACAAGTAAAAACTTTTTTGCAAAATGTAACTGATTTGCGAAAAATTATTTTTCAAAAATAAAAATCACAAATTTGTTTTTTGCTCTCAAAAATAGTAAGGAATGTTTTTGGTTGCTCTTGTGAGAAGCGAATGATGGTCTGAACATGCAACCCCGATGCTTATATAGACGCAGCCACCATGACGGGGTGCAAGAGTGGGGAAGGCAGGTGCACTCTGGCTGTGGGAACTTGGAGAATTCGGAGCTTCCCACGTCGGGGTCCACGCCGACCATCTGCCGTTCTTCTTGATGCCCTATACCCAACCCATTTTACACACATACATACACCCCCTCGACCACCCTAGTACACCCCCACTCGAAGAAATTCTAAGTCTAACATCCCTCTCTTTCTAACTTCTTTTTTAGAAAGAATCTTTTTTCTCTCTCTCTCGACAATGTCTCTTATTTCTCCATGTCTTTGAATTTTCTATTGGCAAAACGAAATCGTCTTTTAGCCCCCTCTTCTTCTTCTTCTTCATCAGCTTCTTTACTGTACACAAAAGGGTGGTTCATCTTCCGAGATCGTTTTCCTGTACAAGCAGGTCCAAACCTGTTGCGACACGATTGCACTGATCATCATCATTTTTGATGCAATAAAGGTGGCGCAATGTATTTGTTTTGTTTTCATATACAAAAGGGGGAAAAAAGAGGTTATATCACGCGATGTTCAAGTTTCGCTAAAGCCATCAATGGAGCACTTGTAAATGATGAAAAAAAAAGTTCGCCAGACCATATGGTGGCTTGATTTTGTTTTTTTTGTTTTTTTTTTTTTTTCATAGAAAGGGTGCAGCTTTTTTAGGGTGAGATTTTAGTTAATTGGATTGTTCTCCAATGTGTCTCTGTTTACAATATTTTTACCCGCCCATTGGTAGTGGGTTTCTATTTTATTTCAATTACTCAGAATACTGCAATGAAAGAAAATTTATTTGGTTCTAATTGGACTATTATCAAATAAAAATTTACTTGGACTAAATGATTTTTGAGTCAATTAAATGATATTTGTTTTAAATACAGAAATTATTGGTTTTAAAAATTACTTGGTACAAGTAAATATTTATTTGATAATATTATCAAATTATTTGAATCGAATGGCTATAAATAAAATTTGGTATAATGGCCTGTATATGTAATCAGTAATTAATTTTTAATATGTATAATTTTCTCTTAATTTTTCCAATTTTGTTTTTCAATAAATAACAAATTTTACTTTTATGAATCTATTTCTTGTTTTATTAATAATCGTCTTTAGTAAATAAGATTTTTAATTAATAATACATTTTTCCTAAATTTCGAAAGTTTCTCATTTTCTATTCTTTATATGTTTCAGATAAAATTTGAAACGTGATTCTTTCCACGGAAGCTGTATATGCAGTAACGGTGAGTTTTTGAATCTTTATAATTTTTTTTTTTTTATTTGCGAAGCAATTTGGAAATATTTCCATTTAGGTATAAAACCAAAATTGCAGGAAAATTTGTTTGAGAGTAAAAAATAATACTGAAAAAGCATAGTTCCTCTAACATTTTTTTTCAAAGAAAAAAATGTATATTTTTTTTTGGAAAAGATGAATCACTCTTGATGTTTTTTTTAAAAAATGCAAGTTCTGAAATTTGATATTATATTGCTGAGGCATGTTTTGTTTCCATATTGACGAAGTCTGGAAAATCTTATGGTGGGGTCCTCATTTTTTTTTCTTGTCGAGAGAAAAAAGGGCCTCACAAGAAAATTTTCATAGGATTTTGTCAAGTATCTATCCCTCTAAAAGTCATTAAGTGTCTCGAAATGTTGTTTTTTCTTCTCCACACTTCGTCAAGAAAATGTTTAGAGGCCAAAAACCCTATGGGGTCTTGATTTTTAACATGTGACCATATACACACACACACGTTTCTTCTCTAAACATTATCCCCTGGACTTGTTTGATGATGATGATGAAGAGAGGCATAAGAAAATTCGAAAAAACAAAAAATTTACCGTAAATCAGTCTCGAAAACCCTCATTATTTTTCCACTCAATCCCCCTTTTACTCCTCATTCAAGAGGAATCTCCTACCTGCTATTCGTTTAGTTTTTTTTCTAGATTGGATTTTTGTCCCCATTGAAAGATTGAAAAATCTGATTAGTAATCAGAATAATTATAAGGAGATATGATTTTAATAGAAGAGTTTTCTTAGAAAATTTGTGTAGGAATTTTATAAACTCGATTTTTGGAATATAAAACATTTCAATTCCGAAAGATGAGAAATTTAATAATAATTTTCAAAATAGATTTGTTTGAGATTTGTTTATTTTGGATACATTGGAATTCGACCATAAAATTTTGAATAGCAAATAATCCAGGAATATATATTTGAGTATAGAACACCTGAGCCTGTGAGACCTGCTTTGGGGGGTCGTCGTTGTCGAAAGAGAAACCGTTGTTGTTAGGATTCCTCGATCGTTCCCCTGATTGGGGTGGCCCCTCTCTCCCTTGCGTGCAACAACACTAAACAGGGGTACTACTACACTTCATGATCCCTCATTCTTTATTTTTCTCATTCCGGCACTTTTTCCCCCTTAATGCACCTCGACCGTAAATGTGCCCCCCCTAAACGTGAACAGGTACATTGAACCTATTTGTTTTCACTTGCTGCAAGGTCCCAGCAGGTGAAATTTTTGTACGTGCTTCAACAACTGATGAACCTGTCCGTGACGTCGAATAATAATTTTTTCTTCCTCTTCTTCCACAAGAATGAATTCCACTTGTTCGTGACATTTTCATCTTTTCCGGAAACGGAAACATCATTCTCGAAGGGTCATTTTCACAAATAGATGTTTAAAATTTTATTGCGACTATAGGTGAGAAAATTTATTTTTCAAACTACCTGTTGCAAGGGAATATTGTAGGAGTGACGAAACATTTAGAGAAAGATTAGGGATTATTCAAATTTTTCAAAAATTTGCTGAAATGGACAAATTTTTATGGATGTATAGGAATATTTATTTGAAGATTTGGAATTTTTTATTTCAGGAAATTTTAAATTGATTGTATGCTTTTTTCGCTTGAAGAAATTTCTTTTATTGACTTGCAATTTGAAGTAAATCTTATTCTGTTTGATTATTCTACCGAATAGATTCAAGCAACCGGTTCTTTATTCTCCCATTGAATCCTAAATAATTGGACTTACTTTTTGCTCTATACAAGCTTGAATCGATCGTTTGCTCTCTTTTTAGCTTTAATTATATGGCTTGTAATTTTCTGTTTCTGAACAAGAAGAACGATTTTTTTCCCTCTGTCAGTAATAATTTTAATTTCTAATACAAAAATATTTTCTTTTTTTTTTTTAATTCAAAACCTCCTGAAGTCTTAATTAGGAATTAAAGGAAAAACAAACTTGCTTTTTAAATATTTGATTCCACGAGGTCAGTACAGTTCAGAATTATTCTAAAATTAGACATATAAATTTGAAATTCAAAAAAATCGAACGGTACACAGTTCATTTTAATCTGTATTTGAAATATACAAAAGAGATGAGAAAGCGATAGATACCGTTCCGTCATATATGTATATAGAGAAACGTAACACTGAGGGCTCTCGAAAAAAATTTTCTAATCTGAAAGATATCACATGAACGATTAGTTGCGGTGCTCGACGTCGTGGAACACTTTGGGAATACTTAACTGAGCGAAACTGAATCTAACCTTGGTGTTGGGGTATCTGGGATCTTGAAATCGGTATGATTACACGTGTGCGCGAGAAGAGAGGGTGGAGAAAAAAAAAACTAAAGACAGTATATGTGTGTGTTAAAGAAAGAATGAGAGAGAAAGGGAGTAAAGGATGAAGGTAGGCTTGCACCTGCCTGTGACGTCAGAAGAGAATTTCTTGTTCAAACCTGTGCGCCTTTCAGCCCCGGGGGTCACCACTACTGTTTTAGGTTAGATTGAGATTCCCTTTTGCTTTTCTTATCTTTTTTTTTCCTGCCCTTCGATTCCCCTCTTTCATTGCACGTACAAGCATGTCCATATTCAGCATATCCTCCCCTTCTTTTGCAAAACCAGTGTGTTCATTCGATCGGTTACATTGCAAAACTTTATGTATATGTATACTCCTGTTGGGCGAATAATATTTATATGCTAATGGAGCTCCCGACGAGAATGTCTAAAGTGAGGGGGCGGGTGGAGGATGGTTTCTTTTTGCAAAAAAAAAAAAGACACATGAATTGCAAAGAAGAGGTAGAGAGAAGCTAATTTACACTGTTGAAAAAAATCCTCCTGCGAAACTCTCGGAGTTGATCATGGTAAGATTTTTTCTCTTGGTATCAAATCGACTTCGAAGTTTGATTTATTTTTTTGTCTTAAAATTATTTTACCGGTTTTCCGAGTTCCGAAAATTACACGATGTGCGTTCGAATCTTCCTGCCGTTGGAATTTTTTTTTCTATCATTACATCTAGAACATAAATAGTAAGGTTTAATAATTGTTCTTCTGAAATTTTTAAATATATTTTTATCAGTTAATTATGTTGGGTCGAAGAAATAAATTTTTTCCTCTCTAAAAAAGAATTAAAAATCGGACTTTAAGCAAAAAAAAAACAATTTGTTTTCTGAGGCCCTATCTTATTCAGGAAATACTAAATCAAGAGTGTAGATTTTTTTCCCCCGAAAAACAAGTTATCTCTCTCGACATTATTGACAAGAAAAAAAAATTGTATTTTCCCATTATTATCAGTAATAGTTGATAAAAAAAAAAGGAAAAAAAATTAAAGAAGACTTTCGATAAAAAGTATTTCTTTATCGGTCGCTTAAAAAGCAATGCGGAGACATATTTACATCGAAGTAGAATGAAAGATTTTAGACGCGGAGACGATGAAGAGAGGAGATAAAAAAGCGACAAAAAAGTTATAAAGAAGTAGAAAAAGAAGGGATAAAATGAAAAAGGATTGGCCTTTAGCTTCCAGATAAAAATAGTAAGTCGACTACCGTTTCTGCCTCCCCCTTTTTCTTTCTTTTTTTTTTTTTTTAGTCCTCATCGCTATGGTATTAGACTATATATGATGCCTGTAATCGTTTTCGGGCGGCATTTTTTTCTCTTTCTCTTTCGCAGGAGCACCGGTTTTACGGGGGATAAAGATCTTTATAATTGGAATTTCATATCGTCTCTTTTTGACATGTCGAGAGAGTTCGATAAGAAATAAAAAGCAGAGGGAGGAGGGATTTTTTTTTATTATGACTAATATACACTTTTGTGTATATTTTATAATATTCTTTCGTTCTTGAAATTATCCACCAAGGTTCATTCTATTTCGTTATTATTTCTTTTTTCTCCTCTCGAGTTTTATTCGAATTTCAGTTATTATACTAAAAAAAAAATTATTTGATTCAAATAATTACTTGGCTATTATCAAACAAATATTTACTTGAACCAAATAATTTTTGAAACCAGTGTACGACGGACGGACGGACGCCAAAGCGAAATTTTGATTCATTAAAAAAAAACATCAATGGAAAAAAAAATTTCGAAAATTTGATTTTAGGTTTTTTTTTTATCTTATATATATATATATCCCCTTCTAAATTTGCGGATTCACAAATGTCGGATGAACTATAAAGAAATGCCTATATGCTTATTTAAGATTATAAAAGCTCTAGAGCGTCCATTTCGTCTTGACAAGAGAATATATATATTTCCTTTTGTCGAGGACTCTGCTCGCCGGTCCAGAGATTATCGATGAATAAAGAAATGTCCTATTCATATATACCCTTGGACCCTTTCCATCCTTTGATGGACCCAAAGGGATGTGTAATATTATTCAAAATCACGAAAATCTTCACTGGAATTTCGTTATTTTGTTCCTATTGAAAATCCTAGATGCATATCTTATATATGTGTAAAATATATATGTATAAAATATATATGTGAAGGGGATGATTGAATAGAATCCAGTGCAAAAAGGAGAATTCAAATCGTAACCCTCTTGATCGTACACCTACAACGGCGTGTCGACCTCCCTTAAATTATTTTTTGTATAAGAAATTTCAGGTAAAAAGGGTCAAGGATTTCACATATGTATTGTAATAAAAGAGTTTTTTTTTTTTTTTTGCGTCGAATCATTGGAATTTCTTCTTCCAAAGGACGCAATCATATAAAAGGGGACACGTTAGTTTTTCTTCGATGATCTTCTCGAAAAAAGGGAATATAAGAGAAAAAAAAACGAATCCGAATTGTATTCAAAAGATAAAATTCAAGGGTTGCCTTATATATAGAGTAAACCTTGCAAGATATTTTTCTGCGTTTTCACCTGAAAAATAAGATTTTTCATGCATCTGCCATATATATTATGATGCTTTTATTAAATTTTTTTTATTGTGTTATATAAATGCCAGGTGGTGGATTTTTTTCCCTTT